CGCGGATGCGCCTGCGCAGACGCCGGAACTGCCCCGAGCTTGGGGAAGCTGGGCGCTCCTGCAGCGGCTCCCGAGGAAGAAGGCAGTCTGGGGACTGGGCTGCCGCCTGTAGTCACCTCCGCTGCGCCGCCGGGCAGGTAAGGGGGCGCTGGTGGGGTCGTGCAGGTCGTGGAGCCGGCGGCTGGGGCCTGGGCTGCGCATTTGGAGAGGCTCACCGGTTGGGGGTGCGTGGGTGAGGCCCCAACCGCGCGGCCAGTCAGGACCCCGAGGCGAGTGCGGGCGGCCTCCGTGGTTCGTGGTGCACCCCTCCCCAAAGTTAGTATTCCCTCAATCTCCTTTCTTCCCTGCAGCTTGTATCCGGGTTTGAGGAAGTGAATGCAGCCCTGGGAGGTGGGAGGGCGCCTGACGCTGCCTGGAGCACTTCCGACCAGCCCTCAGGTCATGGCCTGCTATGGCTAGGCGGGTGCAGTGCTGTTGCGGGCCTGCGGTGGGATGGGGGCTGCGCGTGCCAACGCCTGGATTTGTTACCGATTCCCTCGCGGCCTGGGGCGGCCTCTGCTTCCCCATATTCGCGGGGTGCGCGTCTGGCGGTCAGTCTGCTCCTGGGAGGCGAGACTTTGCTGTCTGGGTGCGGGGCAGCGGCAGGCGGTGGCAGCGTGTGGCGGTGAGCTGTAGCGGCGGCAGGGGGCGGCGTGAAGAGGGTGTGCTCCTGGGAGCCAGTCGACTTTGTCCTGTCTACCCCGTGTGCTGTTCTGGGGGCGGCCTCTTGTGCTACAGGTTCCCAGGACGCAGGTTACAGGTCAAGCTGCTCTTGGGAGCCTGGCGAGGTGCGGTTAGGATTCGCGGACAGCGGGGGCGGCGGTGGCAGCGGGGAGCGAGTGTGCTCCTGGGAGCCAGTGCACTTGCTCCTATCTACCTCGTGTGCTGTTCTGGGGGCGGCCTCTGCTGCTGCAGGTTCCCAGGACACATGTCTTCATGCCATCTGCTCCTGGGAGGAGGATGCAGTGAGGTCAGGGGACAGCATGAGCGGTGGGCAAGGACTTTCTGAGGACCTGGCTGTAGCCCAGGTAGGTAACTCTCTTTTCTTCTCTTGCTTCCTGAGTTGGTGGGTGTAATGGCTTTTACATTATAGGTTATTTCCACATATTGAACTCAGGTTTCTGTGCTATACAGAAGAACCTTTTCAGGAAAATCTATTATGTATAGTGGCTAACGTCTGTAAATCTCAGACTCCCTCACGATTTCTCTCTTCTCACCCTCTTTCCCTGGTAGCCGTAAGATTGTTTACTAAGTGTGCAAGTCTTTCTGTTTCGTAGGTGATTTCATAGCGTCTTTTGTTTTTGAGTGCACATATGAGCGATACGGTATTTTTCTTTCTCTTTCTGGCTCATTTCACTTAAAATGATGATCTCTAGGTCCATCCATGTTGCTGCAAGTGGCATTTTATCCTTTTCTATGGCAGAGTAGTATTCCACTGTGTAAACACACTGCAGCTTCTTTATCCAGTTGTCTGTTGCTTCATTTAAGTTGCTTCCATGTGTTGTCTGTTGAGCATGTAGTGGTGCTGTGAATACTGGGGTGCAGGTATCTTTTCAGATTGGAGTTCCCTCTGGATATATACCCAGAAGTGAGATTGGTGGATCAATAGGGTTAAGTCTATTTGTAGTTTTATGGGGAATTTCCAAACTGTTCTGCCTAATGGCTACACCAAACTACATTCCCATCAGCAGTGTAAGAGGGTTCCCTTTTCTCCACACCCTCTCCAGCATTTAGATTTACGAACTTTTGAGTGATGGCCATTCTGACTGGTGTGAGCTGATAGTTCACTGCAGTTTTGATTTGCGTTTCTCTGGTAATTAGTGATATTCAGCATTTTTTCATGTGCCTATTGGCCATTTGTAGTCTTCATTGGAGAAATGCTTGTTTAGGTCTTCTGCCCATGTTTTGATTAGGTTGTTTGTTTTTGTTACTAAGTTTTGTGAGCTGTGTATATGTTCTGGAAATGAAGTCTTTGTCGGTTGAATCATTTACAGATATTTTCTCCCATTGTATAGGTTTTCATTGAGTTTTGCTTAAGGTTTCCTTTGCTGTGGAAGAGCTGATAAATTCAGTTTGGTCCCATTTGTGTGTTTATTTTTGCTGTTATTTTTATTGGTTGGGTAGACTGCCCTAGGAGAACATTGCTGAGATGTATGTCAGGTGATGTTTTGCCTGTTTTCTTCTAAGAGTGTTTTGTCTTATGTTTAAGTTTTTAAGCCATTTTGAATTGATTTCTGTGTGTGGTGTGAGGGAGTAGTCTAATTTCATTGATTTACATGCAGCTGTCCAGTTTTCCCTACACCATTTGCTGAAGAGACTGTCTTTACTCCATTGTATGTTCTGGCCTCCTTTGTCAAAGATTAATTGACCAAAAGTTTGTGGGTTTATATCTGGGCTCTCTGTTCTGTTGCATTGATCCATATGTCTGTTCTTGCTTCAACACCATGGTGTTTTGACTGTAGGTGTGTAGTGTTGTGTGCAGTCTGGGAGGGTTTTTCCTCCAGCTTCATTTCTTTTTCCTTAGTAATGCTATGGTAATTCTGGTCTTTTGTGATTCCATATAAGTTTTAGGATAATTTGTTGTAATTCTTTGAAAAATGTCCTGGGTAGGTTGATGGGGATCACATTAAATCTGTAGATTGGTTTGGGCAGTGTGGCCGTATTAACAATATCAGTTGTTCCAGTCCAAGAGCATGGGATATCTTTCTGTTTCTTTAAATCATTTTTAAATGCCTTAGTCAGTGTTTTTTAGTTCTCCACGTATAAGTCTTTCGCCTCCTTGGTCAGATTTATTCCTGAGTTTTGTTTTTGTTTTTGATGTGATTTTAAAAGAGAATTTAAAATTTTACTTTGCTTTTCTGATATTTTATTCTTAGTATAAAGAAATGCAACTGATTTCTGTATGTTAATCTTGTATTCTGCTTCTTGCCAAATTCATGTATCAGCCTTAGTAGTTTTTGTGTGGAGGAGTAAATTTTTGACTGCTCCCTTGCTTTATGGCACACGCTGACCTAGGTTCATCATGTATTTCCTGCCCCTGACATCAAGCCAGGCAGTTATCGAAAGAGCCCTGGTTCTACATATTGTGAAATGATTTTGAGATCATGCTGGGTGCTAGAGGAAATCTTCCTTTAGGAATAGAATAATGCTATTTAAAATTGATCACCCATTTATACACTGGACTAGAGTTTTTAAATTTAATTTTAGGTGGGAATGATAGATGCTGTTGAACAGATGAAGTTTGTGAAGGAGATGTGGGCAAAGTTATCAAATTGGATAGACATGGATTACATGACTCAGTATGCAGTGTGACTGGCAGCAGAAAGGAGGCACTTCCTGGGTTAGGTACATTCACGTGGAACTTAATAGGTAAGAACATTCTTTGCTTCTTAAGTAGACTTAAGAGTTCCCAGAAATGAATGCTAACTATAGTTGATTTTTTAATTGAAATCTCTAGGCTGTCCTCCACCAAGTTCTTGTCACATCAAGATTGGTGGTAAAGTTGGTTTGAAAGCCTCAGTCATGACACCGAAATACAAGTGGGGGGTCCGTGACTCAGCCAAGTGTGGGGGTTGTGAAAGGTCATGATACCTAGGTAGGAAAACTCTGGGTGTTGGCTTCTCATCAACTAATGTAAACTAGGGCAGGATAAAGAAGTATTATTAAGCAAACCTTATGATATAAAAATAGTGCCCTTCTGCTTGTCAGTGCCCTCTTGACCAGGAGCACGCCTGCTGTTGGACAGTCAGGTGTATTAAGTCCCTACAACTTGGGAGAATGCACCGTGGAGAATGCAGTGTCTCCATAAGTGTGTGTGTGACAAAGTCTAATGGGTTCGCATTGGGTATTTGGGGGAGATTTCAAGGAATTGGGGTGATCCTAAGAATGGATGTGTTAATAAACATTCCCTGGAGGACAGAAATATCTGAGTCAGGATGAGGTCATGTTGGGCAGGGAAGCAGTCGGTCATACTCGCCAGGAGGGGATTGTAGTTTGGATTTGATTGGATGTGACCAGATGTGTTAGAGTGGTTTTGTTTTTGTCTTGATCTGTCACAGTCTCAGGCTGACTTTGTCTCATACTGGGGTTCTTTTTCCATCAGTCCTTCTGCCAGATGGCCAGCTCCCTCAGTGTTCTCTCTTTTTATTAATGCTGTATAAAAATTTAGGACTGAGTTTAAGACTTGGCAATGTGGAAATGATGGGTGTGAATAACTGGAAACAAAATTCTCCTCAGTGTATATTTAATGTGACATTGTTGAGCTTTCAAATCACATGGTATACAATGTCCATTTTAAAACTAGCGTGAAAAATAAATATATGTGTGGTTTTATTTTGCCTTTGAACTCTTTCAGTGCCATTTTTTGCTTTGTTTAATTTCAGCCTTGTGGAAAGCCATCTTTGGGTCAAATAGCTTAGATTAGAAATGGCTGCAATGGTGGTGCTTCCCCAGCGAGCAGAGATTTTAGTTTTTAAGTTACTTAAGAACAAACGGCTTAACATTTTATTTTGGTTTAACATTTTTCTTCACTTAAGAGATTCTTAAAAGCTTTAGAAATCAAAATAAAGATAAATTTCAAAAATAATGGTTAGATGTAAGTGTTTTGGGTAGCTTTCACTAAACGGCAAGAAATATCTTATGATTATTAATGTAATCTTTATTCCCTAAGATACTGAGTGGAGTTTTTAGTTGGTGTAATTAAAAACAAATAAGCCTTCTTATTGTGGAAAATTTGAAACAGATACAAAGGTAGAGATTATAGTATAATGAGCCTCCATGTGCCCATTACCTGACTTCAGCAGTTGTCAGCTCCTGGCCAAACTGTCCATCCATGATCTCCTGCTTCCATTATTTTGAAGCTAATCCCTGATTGCCATCATGTGTTAGTTCATCCAGAAGTACCTTAGTATGTCTCTCCCAGAGAGAAGTTCTCTTTGTAAAACACAGAAAACTGTAATATAATATCTCATGGTTAGGTATAGTTTTAATTTTAATTTTCAGTTTTTAATTGGTGAAAAAGATGTTCCAGGCAATTTCCATTCTGTTCTAGCTTTCAGTGTCAACGGGAAAGACATTACTGTCAACTTCCCTCAGCAGTCTCACTGGACTGGGCTCTTACGAGACATGGAGTTGGTACCCAGTGTCCATCCTGGCTTTCACGAGTTTTGAGTTTTGTATTACTAGATTCACTTGGGAGGAATGGCTTTCTTCGGAATCAAGTTTAACAAATGACCTCATCTTTTTCTTATCAACTCAATGGCTATTTTAAAAATAGGTGGGATCACTGTCAGATGTTTCCTATCAATGGATCTTGATTCAAATGCAGAAACTGATTAATTTGATTTTTGTGAAATGTGTTTCAAAACCAGGAAACACAACAGCAGGCATACATTTAGCAGAATAAATGAGCAAAGTATGGTAGAATGGTTCTCTTTCCTCAAAATTTATTAGTGAGGTAGTTATTGTGGAAACAGAGGTACTTAATTTTGGTCTTTAAAGCTCGTACCTAAGTGGGCAGCACTGTACTGTGTGCAGAGTGAAACAGGAAAGGTGGTCCTACCGACTTGGTGAATTGCTATTTTTTTCAAAGCAATGAAGGAGTCACTGGGACTAGAATAATGGGGTTTGCTTGTATTTCCATAAAAAAACAGTAAAAGGATCTCAAGAAAGTAATATATGTTTTGTTGGATAGGATGTGAAATTGGAGAAATAGAGAGTTAGTCTTTTTATTTGTATGTGTTTTCACAACAGCAGAATATATCCAACATAAAATTTGCCAATTTGATCAGTTTTAAGTGTATAATTAAGGGAATTTGCACACTAACCCCACTACTTCTAAACCGTTTTCACCACTCCAAATTAGGAAGGTATCCGTTAAGGAATAATTCCCCATTCTTCCCTCTACCAACCCCTGGCAACCTCTAATCTGCTTTCCGTCTCTGTGAACTTGACGACCCTAGGTATGTCTTACAAGTGAAACCACTCAAAATTGGGTTTTCTGTGTGTCTGACTGACTTTGCACTGTGTTTCCAGGGTTCATCCATGTTGTAGCGTGTCAGAACTTCATTTCCTTTTGTGGCTGAGTAGTAGTTCATTGTACGTATATACCACATTCTGTTTATCCAGTCATCTATTGTGGACAGTTGGACTGTTTGTACGTTTCAGCTCTCGTGAATAACATTGCCGTCAACATTGGTGTACGAATCTGTTTCAGTCCCCGTCTTCAAAACTAGGAGTGGAATTGCTGGGTCATTAGGTAGTTCTTTAACTTTTGGGAGGACTACTAACGTGTTTTTTTACAGTGGCTGCACCGTTTAACATTTCTTTCAGCGGTGTATGAGGGTTCCAGTTTCTCCACATCCTCACCAACATTTGTTTCTTTTCTCTTCTTTCCCTTTCCTCTTCTTTTCTTTTTTTTCTTTTCTCCTCCCTTCCTCTCTTTCCCCTCTACCCCGTCTCCCTCCATCTCCCTCTCCTTCCTTCCTTCTTTCCTTCCCTCCCTCCCTTCTTTCCTGCTTTCTCTCCTCCCTCCCTGAGTTACATTAAGCCTCTTTTCACGTGCTTTCTACCACTTGTATCTCTTTTCTGAGGACATGTCAATTCAAGTCCTTTGCCCATTTACAAACTTTTATTATTGAGGTATAGGAGGTCTTTATGTATTATAGACAGTAAACTTCTATCAGATACGTGATTTGCAAATATTTTATCCCATTCTGTGGGTTGTCTTTTTGCTCTCTTGATAGGATTCTGTGATGCATAAAAGTTTTAAAGTTTAATGAAGTTTAATTTATGTTTTGTTTCTTTCGTTGTCTGTGCATTTGGTGTCATACTTACACTTCTTGTAGGAAACTATTACTAAATCCAGAGTCATAAAGATAAGACCCTATGTTTCTTTCTAAGAGGTTTATAGTTGTAACTCCTCAGTTTAGGTCCTTGAACCACTTTGAGTTAGTTTCTGTACATGCTATATATAATGTAAGGTATAACATGTAATTTTATCCTTTTACATATGTACCCAGTTTTCCCAACACTATTTATTGAAAAGATTGTCCTTTCGCCATTGAATGGTCTTGGCATCTTTTCTGAAAATCAGCTGACCATAAGTGGAAGAGCTTTTCCCTGGGCTTTCCTTTCCACCCCGTTGGTCAGTTGCCTGTCTGTACACCAGCACCTCACCGCACACTGTGGTTATGACAGCTTCTGTAGGGGACCGTGTGACTCCTCCAGAATTATTTTTCAAGATTGTTTGACTATTGTCTGTTGGAAGTGAATATAAATTTTGGGATGAATTTTTCTACTTTTGTAGAAACAGTATTTTGATAGGAATTGCATTGAATCTGTATATCACTAAAATTGTCGAGGGATGGCTTTCCATTTACTTAGATCTTTAATTTCTTTCAGCCGTGTTTTGTGATTTCTGTGTATGTCCTGTGCCTTCTTGGTTAAATTTATTCCTAAGGTTCTATTTTTCATGCTTTATTAAATCGAATTATTTTTAAAAAGTTTCTTTTTGGAAGGTTTGTTGCTAGTGTGTAGGAATATACACTGCATACATACACTACATATTTTCAGCACATTTTGTGTATAGAATTTTTATCCAGCAACTTTGCTGAATTAATTAGCTCTGACAGGTTTTCTTTTGGTGGAGTCTTTAGGGCTTTCTACATAGAAGAAAGATCATTTGTCTGTGAACTGAGATAGTTTTACTTCTTCCTTTCCATTTGGATGCCTCACGTTTCTTTTTCCTGCCTTGTTGCTTCAGCTGGATCTTCCAGCACTAGGGTGGATACAAGGGGCAAGGGTGGGCATCCTTGTCTTGTTCCTAAACTTAGGGGGGAAGCTGTCAGTCTTTAAGCACAGAGTATAATGTTAGCTGTGGGGTTTTCATATCTGATAGCCTTCTGTATTTTGAGGAAATTCTTTTCTAGCCCTAATTTGTAATATTCTCTGATCTTATGTAGGAGATCTGCAGGATCTGCAGAGCTCTCTCCTTTTCAAGGCTATCACCTTTATTTTAACCCCTATACTTTATATTTTTTGATCAGCCTGCCATGAGTTTGTCAATTTTATTAGTCTTTCAAAGTACCAGCTTTTGGCTCTGAATTGCTGTCTCTCGTATCATTATCATTCCTTTCTTGTTCTAATGGAAGTTAGGTCTAGATTGACCTCCAACACCCCTCCATCCTTGAATCCTTATTAGCTCATCAATGTCTCACTTTTATCTTTTCTAATATGAACTTAAATATTTAAATTTATTTAAAAGCAAAGCTTAAGCTATATCCTGCAATACTGTTGTGTGATAATATCTCATTATCGTGCATTTGAAAGTATGTTAGAGATTCCGGTGGAATTATTTTCTTGCATTCATTGATTTGTAAATTTTCAGATTTGTCGGCGTTTTCTACCTATCTTTTTACTGATTTCTGCATTGCATTCAGATTATGTACCCTGATTGATCTTTGACATTTTTTGAGACTTGTATATGATCTAAGACTCAGTGTATGATGGGGTTTTACACGTGTTGTGTGCATGCCTAGAAGAGTGCGTCCTGCATGCAGTTCTGTGGGGAAGTTAGTGTTTGCTTATTGTATCTTTTTCTACCCTTTTACCCTCACTCCTTCTGTAATCTTGTATTGTAGTTGTATTTCTGGGAGGTTGTAAATAATTTGTTTTGTTTTGTTTTAATTCCAGTGTGATGATCTTTTGTCTTTTATTTGGATCTTTTAGTTATTTACATTTAAAGCAATTGCTGAAGTAGTTGTATTTAAATTGATCAACTTCTCAGTGATCTGTTTTCTGTTCTCCTTTCTCTGTTCCATCTTCCTTTGGACTGGTAAGTTCTTCATTATTTAGCAGCTCCCTCACCATCACACACTTACTGGCTTAGAAGTCACACACATACATTTTTGGTATTAGTAGTTAGTCAAGATATTAAAATACCCATTTTTAACATATCAAATCTAATGGTTACTATTTGTACTCTCCTGCTAAGCAATGTAAGGATGTTGGATCCTCTTAACTTCATTTACCCTCATTCTGATTATCATGTTTATTTATTATGTTTAAAAGTTTTACACAGACACATTTTTAACAATACAAATGATTGTTTTATGTAATCAGTATTTGTTTAGTTTTTTTCACATCCTTAATATTGTAGTATTTCTCTGTTCCTTTCTGTATCTTTCACTTCCCATCTGTCATCATTTTTCTCCTGCCT